CCATGTTCACTCACCTGCCTCTCTCTGGCCTTGTATGCATATATATATTCTCTCTCTCTCTTTCTCTCTACTTTCTCTCTCTAGATAAATTTTTTTTATGGGTTTGTATGATTTTGGGCAGCAAACGGGTATGGAAGGACAAGGGGAAGTAAGGATCGAAGAAAACTATGAATCGAGCAACGTTAATGGAAGAAGAAGCAGAGAAGACGAACACGAGAGCAGATCTGGCAGTGACAAGAGGGGCGGCGGCTCCGGCGACGATCTCGACGCCGCCGACAAACCGCCGAGGAAGAAAAGATACCACCGCCACACCCCTCAGCAAATCCAAGAACTCGAATCGTACGTCTTGTTTTTATTTTTTTCTTACTGCGTGTCTGTCTATATATATGTGTGTGTTTGTTGTCGGAATTTCTTGTGTAGTAATATATATATTTTTTTTTTAAATTACAGTCTGTTCAAAGAGTGCCCACATCCAGATGAAAAACAAAGATTGGAGCTAAGCAAAAGGCTTTCTTTGGAGACGAGACAAGTGAAGTTTTGGTTCCAGAATCGAAGAACTCAGATGAAGGTGTGTGTGTGTGTGTTGATTGATTAGTGTTTTAGTGTGTGTGTGTGTGTGTGTGTTTTATTTTCTTGATTTGTGTGTGTTCCAGACGCAAATCGAGCGGCACGAAAACTCGATTCTCCGGCAAGAGAACGACAAGCTCCGAGCGGAGAACATGTCGATAAGGGACGCTATGCGCAACCCCATCTGCACAAACTGCGGCGGTCCCGCCATGATCGGAGAAATCTCGATCGAGGAGCAGCACCTCCGAATCGAAAATGCCCGGCTGAAAGACGAGCTGGACCGCGTCTGCTCGCTCGCGGGCAAGTTCTTGGGTCGACCCGTTTCCTCAAACGGGCCGCCCATGCCCAATTCGAGCCTCGAACTCGGATTCTCCCTCCCGATGGGCCCACACGATTTTGTCAATAGCCCTTTGCCCGTAATGCAACCGAATAATAATAATAATAATCCAATTAAAGGAACAACGATCGAGAGGTCTTTGGAGAGATCTATGTATTTGGAGCTTGCTTTAGCTGCAATGGATGATTTAGTGAAAATGGCACAAACGGATGATCCGATTTGGATTAGGAGCAATATTGAAGGTGGGAGAGAAGTATTGAATCTTGAGGAATATTCTAGAAGCTTCTCTCCTTGTATTGGGATGAAACCTAATGGATTTGTTACCGAGGCATCGAGAGAAACGGGCATGGTTATTATCAACGGTTTAGCTCTCGTCGAAACTCTAATGGACTCGGTGAGTACTCTCCTATATAATAAGTTATAATTTGAAGTAAAGATTTGATTTTTATCGAGTTCTTGTTGTGATTTTACTACATTTTCGATTTCGGTAGTTAATTATAAGTGTAAAGATTTAATTTTTATCGAGTTCTTGATTTTATTTATTTACTCAAATCATTTTTCAAATTTCGGTAGAACAAATGGGCAGAGATGTTTCCGTGTATAATCGCTAGAACCACTACGACAGACGTGATATCAAACGGTATGGGAGGAACAAGGAATGGTGCACTCCAACTGGTACTAAATATCCCATTTTATTTTACTTTTTATTTTTATTTTCTTCGGATTAAAAAAAATTATTCTTTTATTTCGATTTACAACTAGATGTACGCGGAGCTACAAGTTCTATCACCATTAGTGCCCGTTCGAGAGGTCAATTTCCTCCGGTTCTGCAAACAGCACGCAGAGGGTGTGTGGGCCGTAGTAGACGTATCAATCGACGCCATTCGCGAAAACTCCGGCGGCGCTCCAGC